ATGAAATCATGATGATTCATGACTCACTTTGTACATGTAGATCTGGACCATGTAAACTTTCTATTACACATCATTTGACATATCACCCCTTGTTTCAGAACTTATATATCTGTGCTTTGACTTCAAGCAGGTGGAACAGTCCTCAGAGCTTTCTGAAAGTCTGTCTCCTCGGATTTAATCCTCGGATTGACTTAAGTAAAATTTTCCATTTTTTCTTAGGTAGACTATTGATTAATTTTTGTCAACATCTCCTTATCATCCAAAGATTTAAGACTAGCTCAGTCTTGGCGTCCCCAATGGCTCAGTGGGTAAAGAATCTACCTGCAATGCAGGATACACAGGAGATGTGGGTTTGATCTCTGGGTTGGGAAGATTCCCTGGAGGAGGAAATGGCAATCCACTCCAGTATTCTTGCCTGAAAAATCCCATGGACAGAGGATCCTAGTGGGCTATATAGTCCATGGCGCCAAGGAGAGTCAGACATGACTGAGTGACTAAGCACGCACAATGCCTCAATCCTAAAAGAGCTATATCACTAGCAATTTCCTGAAGATTTGCTGACTGCTAATTCATTTAATCAACATTTATTAAGCTATCAGTGTCTGCCAGACATTGTGATATACATTTAGAACATTAAATCTTTGATTAAATTGAAGTACAACAAACTCTAAGCTAACTGCAATTTTTCATAGCTTCAGCTCATGAGGAAGCAAAGGGCAAAAAAATAACTATAATCTATTTTTAAAACAAGAATTTCCAAGACTACAGTGGTATCATTAGAGTATCAGCCCAATTTTCTACTCTATGGGCCCTGAAGACTGTGTAATAATAATGGTGCTAAGAAGAACTTCCCTGATAAAAATCTTCAGTTATTAGCAATCTCATTGCTATTTCAGTGACTTACATAATACTTTATCTTAGAATTAACCAAATTACCATATCAGTGATAATAGTTTATCTTCTGAGAATGGCCAACCTTTTCCTAGACACAAAACACATGTAGGAGGAAGATTGATTTTCTCTCAAACTTAGGAAGTCCCTGGAATCCTAGACTATGCTTATAGATTCAATCTGTTTCACCCCCTCTCCCCAGCAGCTACAAGCCCAGCCCTGGTGATTAATGTCACCTCCTAGAGTTGCTGGGGCTTCCCAGGTGGTTCAGAGGTAAACAATCTGCCTGCCAATGCAGGAGACATGGATTCAATCCCTGGGTCAGGAAGATCCCCTGGAGAAGGAAATGGCAACCCACTCCAGTATTCTTGCCTGGGAAATGCCATGGACAGAGGAGCCTGGCAGGCTTCAGTCCAGGGGGTAACAAAGAGTCGGACACAATTTAGTGACTAAACAACAACAGCAGAGTTGATGAGGCTATGAAAGTTCCCAGTACTGTCAGGAGAGCCTCTACTTCTATTACCAAGAAGCTGAGAAGGGACACAGACCCAGCGTCATACCCAGTGATTAGGTGTAATTGACCTTGTCCATTATGGTTTTTCTGTAGGAAGCGTATTCCAACATGCCCCAGATAGATTTAAGAATCAACTTTGCATAATAGCCTGATCATAATTTGAGAGCCAGCTATTCTACTATTGACTAATTAATTCATTCTCCACCTTGTTCCAAAAGGATGTAAGGCAGCCAAAAGAATCTAAAGAAATTGGCTGCCTGTGGTGGTGTTACTAATATAGGAAATTACAGTTTTAGTTTATATTTTAATCAGAATCCTCATTGTCTAGGTCATTAGCAGACCTCTGGCTTTAAAGAAAATACAGTTTCCAAAACACATTTGAAATCTTCCTTAATGGGAAATGTTTTTCAGCACATTCTTCACGTAATACAGAATTATTCTATCTCTTCCTGGCCTTAACATATGCCAGGATGGCCCTTCTGCTATCCAAAATTACTCACTCTTCTAAAATGCTCCCGAATAGAAGTTGCTCTTTCTCAACCAATCCAAGTGTCTTAGGGTCTGGAGAGTGAGTCATAAACCTCACTGCTTCCTACCAACTTCTAGAACTTCTCTCTCCTAAAGAATCCGAGCTCCTCTGGGACTCATGTTTTTTAATATACTGCTCTTTGCATCCTTGTCTCAGTCAGAAATCAACCTTCCAATCTCTCTCCTACAGTTACTCAAGATTCTGATTTTAGAGCAAAACCTTAATGGGGTAGCTTTTACAATCCCCTACTCTGACCTTTTTTTTCTCGTCTTCATTTTCTTGCTTTTATTTATCCCCTCAACAACTGACTTGCCAATACCTTCAACTTTTTTCCCCCTTACTGTTTATTTCAATCATCAAAAAACACCCAGTGTTAAAATGAAGCAATTCCTCTTCTTGTCTTCTCTCTCTGCTGCTGAGTTCTGCTGGAAAATTTACACAACTCTGTTTATAGCACTGCAAATTTATTTTTCCAGCCTTAAATGCTCCAAGTTTGCCCAGCAAACCTATTTGTTCTGCATTAACACATTCTCTTATTCTTCACCTCAGCTATTTCAAACCTCCCACATTCCCTGCAAACCTTGTGCCCCACTCTTACATCCTGTTATAATGAAGCTCTTGGTTACTAGTTTCTAGAAAGCACTATGATGACAGATAACTGTGGAAAATGAAACTTGCCTAGATGAAGTGGCCTAGGAAATATAAAGTTCTAATATAAAACTGGAGAAGGGGCTATAGGGGAAAAAAGTAAAATACTAATATTGCATTGAGGTATTAATCTGTTGGGATATTGCCAGAACACAATGTATAGTTATTATGTAATTTGAAAACCTAAAGTGTATTTATAAACTGACAGAGAAAATTTAATGATTAGACAAATGTGTAGTTATGTATATCTCCACTATCCTATCTGCTCATATCATGTGTATTTATATTTATGGTTTGGAGTTGGGTCCAGGGTATTTTGATGCCTCAGCTATAAATTAATCTTTCTAGGTAAATATCTACTTGTAACATTTCCACCCTAATGTGAAACTACATGAGTATTTGTGTGTTTAAATGTCTATGTCTAATACAATAAGTGAAAAGATTTCAACAACAAACTTTAGCCTCTAAATAATTCTACAAAATAGATAATTTTAAAAATCCTATTCTGTGTCAGGAGTCTGAACCTCAGAATAGCTAAGCTACTTGTGCAAAGTTACATATGGAATAAAATATAGTCAGGACTTGATCCCAGTTCTACTGTCTCCATAGCTTGTTTTTTCTACTACATCATGTCATTTGCAAGAGAAATAACCAACTCCTCAAAAAGTAACTGAAGAACATCCTTGAAACACTGTCACATACATATAACCACTGCAAAATGATAGAGATGTCGCCAAATGAGCACTCATGTAATGGTGACAGAGGTGGAGAACCACAGTCTACAATAGTTGGAGATGAACACAGCTTTTCTTTTCTTAAAGAAATGCAAACTCAAGATCTGTTTTTCAAAAATTATTTATGTATTTAAACTCTGCTTATTCCAAAAATAGAGTTGAGGCAGAGTGAGGCATGCTAACAATCTTCAAATATTTAGAGGGCTATCAGGTGGAAGATGAATTAATGATCAGAGAGATAGTTTTTGTTTTTTTTTTTCCAGATGAGTTATGACACAGTGGTCAGAGCAAAGATTTTTGGAGTTGACGCCTGACTTAATTCTCTGCTCTCCTCCTTATTATTTATGCATCTGTGGGAGAGGTATTTGGCCTACCAAAGTCTTCATTCTCTTCCCCTGTAAAGTGAGGGTAACAACATCTACCTCATGTTTTCTAGTGAGGATGACATGAGATTGTGTTTGCAGAGTACCTAACCAAGTGTCTGTATCACATGGTATGTGCACAATCTATATCACATGGGAAAATTTTTAAAAACATCTTAGCAATACCAATGTTGAATGTGCTGCTTTGGGGCAGTAGTAAGGGGCACAAACTTATCAAGGTTAAGAAGTTCAAACTTAGCCTCTACAATTTTGGGGGGTGTTGTAAAGGTGCTTAAACATCAGGTGGGTTTTTAAACTAGATGATCTTTACTATACCTGTCATTTCTGAAATTTGATGATTCTACCAAATATGTGCCAATAGATAGGGAACAAAATAGAAAGAGGAGTTGAAACAGTGTGAGCATAGTATGTTCTTCCATAGCAATTATCACAAAACAAAATATTAAACCTTGTTGCTGGTGAGTTTCCTATGTCCTCATGTTAAGGTTACTCTTGCTGTGGACTCTCTTAAATTAACAAGCAAAAGCTTGACAGTTCGCAAGTTAAATGGTGAAATTAGTAATTAAGCCAAGTGAGAGATAAGATCCTCAGGGACTATACCATTTCTAAATTGTGTCTCTTCTGGAGTCTTCATCTTCTTACTATATTATTTTTGTTTAATCAAAGGCCTGGGAATTTAGAAGAATTTTTTTTAAGTGTTCCAGACACCACTGAGTCAGGGAAAAAAGAGTAAGTCCAAGGGTCATGCATGGTGGCAGGCCCAACATGTGATATGCAGCTCAACAAGTAATGTATCACTGAGATGTTTTCAGAATAAATTACTTTCTTCCAAGTGTCAAGATGGCAAATTCTTTCACATGTGTTATATCTGGGGGGTTGAGAGTGTGCATGTGTACTGTTTGACATGATTTATTTTCCATGCAGGTATATGTAAGGCATGTTTCAAGCTACCTGTCTAGATTTCAGCTATAAATCACTATACTTCAATTAGTGAATAATTACTTCAGGGAACAGACTGAGGGTATATGGAAAAAAATGCTTGATCAGAATTAATTTCTTTTTCTGAAGACATGAAAACCAGCTAATAAATCATCGCTCATATGTTCTACCCCTTGGTAATAAGAAAAACTATGAAGAAACAAAGTGAGAAAGAATTTGCACAGAAGAAGCAAAAGAATAATCTATTCAAATATATTTCTGAAAGTAGGCTGTTAGGATTCACTTGAACTTTTGGAAAATGCTTTCATCTTGAGTGAAGATATTCTCTGTATATTATGAATAAAAATCACTGTTATATTTACCATCTCCTTTTAGGAACAGCTCAAAAAATTCATGCCAGGTTTCAATGCTAGGGAGATTAGGGTTATCCCTGTAGTAGTGGAAGAATGAAACAGCTATATCTTTTGGATTCCTAACGATGTAGATAATCTGTTAAAAAAAAAACAATTTATTTTTGTACGGAAGTAGCCCCAAGACAAAGCATTTCCTACGAAAAAGTAGCAGCCACACTGACCTATGCAAGTCACAACTTTTTGGTAGCTTCAGCTGATTATTAAATACAGACTTAGATACCAGAGTGTCTCAAAACTGAAGGTGCATAAAAATCATCAGGGGATCTTGTTAAAATGCAGATTCTCACTCAGAAGTTCCAGGATGAGGCCTGGCATTGTGCATTTGTAGCAAGCTTCCAGGAGATGTTGATGCTGCTGGCCCACTGACCAGACTTTTTGAATTTGTATTCTAAAATTTGGTCCTATTTTTTCAGGGGTAGACTTGAGAAAGTCCTCCTCAGATGAAGGACAAGATTAATATTTCAGTATCCATGTATGGCAAAATATGATTTACGTACAAGAAGATTTCTTACAAATTATCCATATTTATAGAAAGTAATGTTCTGGAATTCCTTTTTCTACAATTAAATCAGCTAAAGAGTAAGGAGTCTGAGACACCTTGCCAATTTATACAAATACTGCAACTGCAATTTAATTTGATTCAATAAATATTTATTTAATACCTATTGTGTGTCTGGCTCAGCTGGTGAAGGATGTGCCTACAATGCGGGAGACCTGGGTTTGATTCCTGGGTTGGGAAGATCCCCTGGAGATGGGAATGGCTACCCACTCCAGTATTCCAGTCTGGAGAATTCCATGGACTGTATAGTCCATGGGGTCGCAAAGAATCAGACACAACTGAGCAATTTTCACTATTGTATGTCAGCTAGTGTACAAAAACATTCCAGAGCCAAGGAATAGAATAATGAGCAAGACAGAAATGATTCCCGCCCTCTCAAAACTTGCAGTCAAGAGAGAGTGTGTGTGTATGCGTGTGTGTGTCTGGTGCACACACTCAGTCATGTCTGACTCTTTGCGACCCCATGGACTGTAGCCCACCAGGCTCTTCTGTCCACAGAATTTTCCAGGCAAGAATCCTGGGAGTGGGTTGCCATTTCCTCCTCTAGGGGATCTTCCTGATCCAGTCAAGTGAGGGAAACAGATAATTAAATCCACTTTTGACAGTGCAGTGATATGAGGATTACAATAGTGAAATACAGAGAACTATAGGAGCATATAAAAAACCTCTGGAAGCCAATGTGGGAAGACTGGAGATAATACGACTGTCCCCAGTCAGGGTCACCATTGCATGAGTGAGACCCAGATATTCTAACTTGCTTTTTAATTGCAAATCAGAGAGGACATATTTGACTTAGATAAGGAAGTGTTTACTGAGTCATTTTTTATACATAACTATCTTTCCCTACTCTGTTCATAGTCCAGGTATTGTGACCCTCATTAACTGCACCTGCTCTTCTTTACTTGAAAGATACACAAAGACCACGACACGCAGGAGTGAAGAGCCACCTTTACCCCCGCAGTTATCTTCTCTTTGTCCCAAGAGATAATCATGGAAGAACACAACTCGGGCTTCCTCTAACTGCACAGGCTTCCTGGGCAGATTCACAGAACCCCAAGGCCCAGACACCACAGTTTAAAAATTGACTGCCTTAGCAAGAAGGAATAAATGGCAGAATTTTAAGCCTTAGACATCCAGTTGGAGACTTTATTTCTTGTTAAAGAGAATAATTTTTAGGGACTTTGGAGAACTCTTCCTTGAAGTTACATGTCAGTAGATCTAGTGGGAGGGACAGTGCAACCCATTAACACATACTTTACCAAAAAAGGTTAAAAGAAGGTGTTCATGTACAATGAAGAATGTTAAATAGATAGTGTGGTGCATATACAAATATGAAATCACTATGTCATACATCTGAAACTAACATACTGTTATATGTCAATTACACTCAATAAACACACACACACATTATGAATGTATCCTAAGAAATTACAAAAATTATTAGGGGGAGGTTAAGAAATATGAACAGAAGGTAGAATAGTACTCTGGAGAAAAAATTAAATATTAACTGAATATTTTAAAAATTAAATTTCCTTAAAAATTGAAAATCTATTTAAAAAATTAAATATTAACTAAATAGCATGTGACACAGTGGTAAAGAACTTGCCTGCCAATGCAGGAGACACAAGAGATGCAGGTTTGATCCCTGGTCTGACAAGATCTGTGGAGAAGGAAATGGCAACCCACTCCAGTATTCTTGCCTGGAGAATTCCATGGACAGATGAGCCCCGGTGGGCTACAATCCATGGGGTCGCAAAGAATCAGATACAACTGAGCACACACATGGTGTGAAATGGGCTGAAAATATAAATTTCACGCAAGAAAGTTTGGAAACATTCAAAAGGAGAGTCAAATGTTAGGAAGAAAATATAGGAGGCCAAGTAGGGTTGAGAGCTGATAGAGAACAATGGGAGGAGGAACTTACTATCTGTCCAGCCCTACAGGGGTACTTAAGGCTTGCTCACCCTCCAAGCTCCTGTGGCTCAGTCCTCAGCAACAGAAGACAGGTCATTGCCTTGGCATTCCGGGGACAACCAGACAGTCTCAGTCCCCATTAAAGGGTGGCAATGGAAGGATCATACCTTCAGGCTGTAGTGTTACTGTGGTGGTTTTAAATGCACCCAGCTATAACCCTGGAGAAGGGCATGGCCTCCCACTCCAGTATTCTTGCCTGGAGAATCCCATGGACAGAGGAGCTTGGCAGGCCACTGTCCATGGGGTGCAAACAGTCAGACACATCTTAAGTGACTGAGCATGCACACACACACACACCTTTTCTGAGTTTTGGCTTCTTTGCTTCTAAGAGGGAAAAGAGCTACCCATGTCACTGTTGTAATGTTTATAAAGCACAACTTAACCCCTGGTGGCATTTGTTATCAGTGTTACTGCAATGCCCTAAGGGTTGTTAAGTGTACCAGACTTTTTCTACGCAAATCTCTCTCTCTTAGATAGTCTGTTTGAAACGAAAATGCTCAATTGAGTCAAATTGCAATCAGCTTAGTATACTTTCACCTTTTCTGATAGATTTGCTTGGGATAAACACAAACTCCATGGCATTTACCTCTCCTTGTGTTACTTTTATCTGAACTGGAGAGTAGATGGTATACATGGAGACATTGTGGGCATAGAGTTATAATCATTGGAAGATCTGCTTTGATGTATGCATATTTGGTAGGTTTATTTATTTAAGAATATGACTGACATTGTTTAAAAGGCATCATTACTGGGAAATTGTTTACAGTGGACACATGTGTCTTGACCTTGCTTTACAAATTTTATCCTCTTTTTTCTGATTCTGCATTTCTCCATGAAAACAAATTTTGATAAGAAATACATGAAAATAGAAGAAAACCTTTTAAAAATTAGAAGTAACTTTTAAAATCATAATGTGAGGACTGTAAAAATGGCTTGAGATAACTATTCTTCAGTGTTTTATATTACATTTTACTTTTTATTCTTTCCCATATAATCTTTTGCAAAAATGATAGATAGAATAATTAAAATAATATTATTAAGGCAGTTTTTCTTTCTCTAGACATCAATATTTAAAGAAAATGACTCCAACTAGATTCAGAATAGAATAAGACATTATCTAGCATAATTACAGTTGGCATACTAATGTCATACTCAGATTTTTATGAGCCAGATACTGTGGTAATACCTATATACTCATTTTCTTGTTTAATATTCATCACACTTTGTGAGATGAATACTATTATCCTTGTGTTAAATGAGGACACCAAAACTCAGAGAACATCAGCAATTTTCAAAGGTCACACAGCTTGAAAGTGACACAGCAAGAATCCAAATTCAGTTTTGTGTACCCCCGAGCCTCTGTCCTTAACCACTGAGCTTACCTTGCACTGTTTCTGTTTAATATTCATTGGTAGCATGCTGTAGCTCAAATGTGTTGGAATAACTCTCCTCTCACAGTATGTTTTTAGTTCTTCGAATTTAGAAATGTCTCCCAATTCAATAGGAGGTGTTAGGGTAATTCTAGCATTGGGAATGTTCTCAATGACTTTTGCAATCCAGTGAGTGCCTTCATAAGAAAATAAAATGAAATGCATTTTTAATCAAATGATACTCAAAATGAATATAGAAAATGAACATGAGGTTATAAAAGCAATGAATACATTAGTTTTATTATAAATAGTTATAACCTCGACACACAGATAAACCTGTTGGAACATTCGAGATGTTAGTTCCCTTTACAGGAAGAATCACATTTTAAAGATCGTGAAGAGTGATGAAAACTGTATATGCTGTTTCCTCAGCCTGAAATACTCTTCCACGTTACCACTCACTTCTAGCACCTTCTCCAATTCGCAAACACGCAGATCTTTCCATTCATGACTCCTGCTGGTGCTGCAAGCTCATACATCTTGCTCTTCTAGAAACTGCCTTCTGAGTCCCCAGTTCCCTCTTCTAATTGCTCACCCTCTCTACCTCTCAGAAGCAGCACACATCAAAATAGAGTTGTATTCATGTCTATCTCCCCAGCTCCCTGCTGAAAACAGACATGGGATCTTGTTTTTGTCTGCATGCAAATACACAGCAGTTGTGCAAACAAAACATTTGAACAATGAACAAATGCTATATCCAAACATCAAGGAGATGCAAATTTACTACCATGAAGTCTGGAAGAGATACCAGTTTATCTTACCGAAAGCAAATGAGGATGTGCTCCAGGGATGTAGACTATCGAAAACTGGAGCAGAGAGGTAAAAGTCTGGGTGGGGACGATGTTTTGCTAATTTGAAAGCAATGTTCCAAATTGGTTTAAATGAGGCTTAGTTTCCATTTATCTCATAATTCCAGTTAGATACACGATTAACAAATTTATAGTTGAATAAATATTTAAACAGTGCTCTAACATTATGTTTTAAATTTAAGACTACTTTAGATTATGATGTTAATAGTCTTAAATATGTATAACAGTCATATAAATGTAACTATATAGTAATGATATTTGCATTATTTTAATTACATATACTGATTTATTCTGATAAGAAGAGAGAATACACAGTTTTGTGCTGCTGAAGGGGACCTCCTGGCAGCTAATGGGAAATGCCAATTTATAGGCAACAGTAAGTCCAGGGACTTCCCTGGTGGTCCAGTGGTTAAGACTCCAGGCCCCCAGTGTAAGGGGCCCAAATTCCATCTGGACATCTAACTCCCTCATGCTACAACTAGATCTAGCATCTGGGAACTAGATCCTTCATGCTACAACTAAAAATATTCCCTGTGCAGCAACTAAGATTCAGTGCAGCCAAATAAATACATATTTAAAAAATATGTCCAGTGGAAGCCTTATATATAGTTCTTTGTATATGGTGTAAATTAGCCACTTGTTCTTATCAGCCCAGAAGAAAACAATTATTTATTTACAGATCAATCATTAAGTACAAATTGAACAAAAACTATTTATTTATCACTATGCCTGGCTCAAAGTATGAAGAGAACTTTATAATGTTACAGATATTATGCTTATTATATATTAATATCTGTATGTCTTTGTGAATAAAGTGAAAACAAAGTATATGAAAGCTCTAATTTCTCCAGTTGAATTTTCTCAAAGCACATTTTTTGACTTTCTAATATCAAATTTTTTCATGAAAATAAGCATTTAAGGTACTTTAATTTCCAGTGGAAAAATTCTGAAAAGTAAATGTTTGATAAAACTTATTACATGTATTATCATTCTTGTATATCTACATTTTAAAGATACATTGAAATAAACTTTACCAGATTTTGGATAGGAAACCAGAAACACATCATCCTCTCTTGCCTCAAAAGAATCCAGGGAATTTAGAAGTTCTTCTGAAGACATGGTAGAAAAGATGACTCCCTTGAATTTATGAAGAACACTTGACTGGCTCTTGGATGACATCTTTCGTCAAATCAATTGAAAAGTATTTACTAAACACTAACTTTACACAAGGCACAGAGCAAGTGTGGTCCTTGATCTTAATCCCAGCTCACTAGCAATGTAATCACTGAGCTGACATCCCAATAGAGGATCATATATATACCTTTTGCAATTCTTGACAAGAGTAATTTTTAAATGATAACTGAGCCAAAGTCTACTGTGAAAATGATGTTATCAGAATGTTACTGATAACACATGTTACAAAATATTCCCTCTAACTTGACTCAGACAGTTTACATACACAGCTACCAAGGTAAGAGAGTAATCATTACATTAAGGGACTAAGGTTCATCAAATCCTTGGGCCTAAGTAAGATGAGACTTTTAGTGGCTATAATGGATTATATCACTGTGGTAATGTCTGGAAAAATTGAACTTCTTCTGGTTAATATTAGCACACAGTAGAGGAAGCAGCTGGTACTGCATTTCAGGAAGAAAAGAGGAACAGAGTAAGAAAATACAATTTTTTCGAGGAACTGGCAGGTAAATCTGTGACGAAAGAGACACCTTACAGGAACTATTTTACATAAAAAGTACTAAAGATACCGTGGGAATAAGGAAACCCAAGTTAAAAAAGTATCTTGTGTTTTGATGTACACAGGAAGTTTTGGTTAAACTAAATAATCTCTTGTCTGAGTCATTCTTAGCTTTTGTCACCAATGTTGTTATATTCTGGATTCAGTTACACATGGCAGTGAAAGGCCCAGTTACTTCATTGAACCATAGTTGAATCTCTTTGCTTGTCTAAACTTTAAAAAGAAATGTACACAACAAGGAAATAATCAGCATTTTAGCTGAGCACAAAAAAAGCAGAAGTCAACTGTTGAAGAACTAACTGAAGAAGAAAGATATAAATAATAGTAGCATAAATAAAAATTTAAATGATTATACACCTAAAAATTCCTAAAAAAAAAAACCAAAAAACTATCAATGATTAAAATGAATATGTAGGGGACTTCCCTGGTTGAGAATCCATCTTCTGATGCAAGGGGCACAGGTTAGATCCCTGGTCAGGGAACTAAGATCCCACAAGCCACAACTAAAGAAAAGGCCCACGTGCCCCAAGGAAAATCCTGGTGCTGCAACAAAGACCCAGCGCAGCCAAGAGAGAAGAAAAAGAATATGTAAACTGATCATGCAATGCTGCTGCCGCTGCTGTCACTTCATTCATGTCCGACTCCGTGCGACCCCATAGACAGCAGCCCACCAGGCTCCCCCATCCCTGGGATTCTCCAGGCAAGAATACTGCAATACCTGGAAGCAAATTGTATTTGTGTATTCTAGCAACAACCAATTCAAAAATAACAACTGAAAACCAATACTAATTTATAACATGAAAAATTAAATCTCTAGAAATAAATCTAATAAGACATAGAAAAGACACTGAACACTGCAAAGCATTAATGAGACTAATTAAAGTAGACCTAAGTAAATGAAGAAATGTACAATGTCCACAGACTAGGTGACTCAATGTTATTAAAACGTCAAAATGAGGGGAGGGAGGTTCAAGAGGGAGGAGATATATGTATGATTATGATGGATTTACATTGTTGCATATACAGCAGAAACCAATACAACATTGTAAAGCAAATTTCCTCCAATTAAAAAATAAATACAATATAAAAGGTCAAAATTCTCCTAATTGGTCTATGAAGTCAATTTAGTTTGATCAAAATCCTAACAGGCTTGTGTATGTGTGTGTTTGTGTGTGTGCATGTGTGTGCGCATGTGTGTAAACTGACAAGCATTTGTATGGAAGTGCAAAGGGCCCAGGAAATCTCTTAAAGAACAAATCTATAAGACATATATGATTGGATTTCAAGAATTACCAGAAGACAGCACTAATGAAGATAATGTGGCCTGAGTCCAGTGCTGTAAAATAGTTCAATGGAAGAAAGAGTACAGAATATCCATACATAGATGTTCATTTGATTCATGACAAAGATGCAATTCAGTGAGGCGAAAATGGTTTTTTTTAGTGAATGGTGCTTATTCAATGGGATCCATCTTGGGGGAAAGAATGAATCTTACCTCTTAACATATACAAAGAAAAATTTAAGATGGATCATAGAATTAAAATGAAAAGAAAAACCTGCTAGGAAAAAAATACAGGAGAATATCTTCATGATCTTTGGGAAGGCAGAGACTTTCTCATGACACACAAAAGAACTATCCATTAAAGAAAAAAATTATAACTTGACTTCATTAAGAGCCTTATGGATTACAAGTTATCATTAAGGAACTTCCTTGGTGGTCCAGTGGTTAAGAGCCCGCCTGGCAATGCAGGGTGCCCAGGTTCAATCCCTGGCCAGGGAACTAAGATCCCACCTGCCACAGGGCAACTAAACCCGGGTGTAGCACCTAAAACTTAGCAAGCCAAATAAATAAATACATAAAATTGCCACTTAAAGTGTAAAAAAGGCAAGGCTACAGACTGCAGGAAAATGTTGTAATATATATATATTCAACACTATACTCACTTTTAGACTCTTTAAAGAACTCCTACTAATCAATTAAAAGAAATCAAACAACTGAACAGCAAAAAGTGAGCAAAAGACCTGAATAAGCCTTTGAAAAAGCATTCAACATTATTAGTTGTTGAGGAAAGGAAAATTAAAATTAATACCGAAGGTGAGATTCACTTCCAGAATGTCAGTATGAAGGGTTTTGTGGATCCACTCCCTGAAAAAACCACCATGAATGGTGACAATTATTTTTCAAAATAAATAAACATTTTAAATCTCTAGAAATTTCCCTAAAAGCATACAACAAATGAACAAACAGTTATTCAAGAAAAATGCACTGAATCTTCATAAGAACAGTGAGACTCTATCACACTTGAGCAACAATCTGCTGCTTACTTCCACTACCCCTTCCAGTTCAGCATCAAGGCTCTATTCCAAGGACATATGGCCAAGAAGATGGGATTTCCTTTCCCCCTGGCTTCCAGGCAAGAATTTGAAAAAAATAAAATCTCTAGGTTACTTCCCCAATACTTCCTTGGGAGGAGCAAGCCACATTTCTTTCTCCCCAATTCTGTTTTGCAGAGGCTAAATTCCAGATGACTGTAGCCAAGAGGTCTAGGGCTTCCTTCCTCCATCCAGTCCCCACTCATGGTGTGGAGACACTGCTGCTGGTGTTTCCGGCTAAAAGCACTGGGGTCCTGGTTGCCTTTGGCCCAGCTGGCTCACAGGTCAGAGGTTCCACATTAGGAGAAGAAAAGCCAAGAAGACCAGGGGACTTTCATCACTTACCAAGGGACCTGCTCGCAAACACACACCCACACAAAATGTGTGTCACTCCAAGAGAAATGTCCTTGGAGTGTCCTCACACCCAACTCCAGATTAAATGGTTCAGACATTATTTTTGACCAGAGCGTGAGCCTAGACATGAGGACAAAGAGCTCTGAAGCTCTCCCTGAAGAAACTGACTCTATTTGGGAAAGAATGAAGGGGAAGTCAAGGATAAAATTGCTCTAGAAACCAATGGAGGTTTTTGTGGCAAGAAACTAAGAGGAAGCTAGTAGCTCCACAAAAGCAATAAAATAAATTGTAGGCTAACTTGTTCATCTAGAGAAAACCAGAGCAAGAAGTTTAAAAAAAGTCTCCTGGATAACCTGGTCACCTCCACAAGTGGCCCAAATTTAACTGGATTAGACTCTGGATCAATTCATATACTGAGGCACTGTTGAAAACAAATGAGCAATCAGTCAATAGTATTGAAGTCTAATAGTTGGGTGTGACGCCAACAGAGGCAAAGAGCTTAACGGAAAGATCAAGAAAAGAGACAGTCAAAAAGAGCCCTTCCAAAACCACTGTCGTCCCAGACTCCACCATGCCTAAGCATGCACACTCTGAGGAGTGACATCAGAGAATGTTCAAACAATACTATAAACCAACTAAACTAAATGCACACCTATACAGCACTTTACCCAATAACAGCAGAATACACGTTCTTCTCAAGTACACCTGGAACATCACCGGAACAGTACAGTTTTCCTTATTGTAATGACAACAAAGCAGAGTTTTCAAGTTGTCTTTTACATTTGGCAGTAGACTGGGTAGATAAATATTGAAGAAAATCTAGTGGTAGAACAACTTGTAATTCTGATGATTTTTGTTGTTTTCTCTCTGGAATGATGGGATACATTCTGATGAGACCAGAATTTCTTTGTGCACTGAGTTTAGATTTCAGTTTTATCTTTGTTGCAACCACACTGTCTTGAAAATATGAAGAATTCGGGAGCCTAGTTATACAGAGAGGACATTTTTAAAATTACTTAGAGAAATCTGCAAGTTCATTTCATATTTTCAAAGAAAGCCAACATAGGAAGAATCTATTGTTAATTTTACAATGAATCCTACATGTTTAAAAACATAGAATATGCCTGAAAGAAAAACAACTCTTTTGTTTCCTAAATATAAGTAATATGTTTTTATCAGAGAAATTACAAAATGCTAAAAAATAAAATTATCTCATTATTTTCCCTATGAGACTTTTTTCCTATTGATATTTGTAATATATGTATGTTTACAAAAATGTTACCATTCTTTTTTTTGGCAATCTGTTTGACAAAACTATAAATATATCACTATAAATATGAACAATATACAGTACATATAACACACTATATATATACATTTTTATATATATATATATATAAATGTGAAAATTACAGTGTTTTTTAGAGACTCGGTATTCTGTTGTATAATGATGTATTTAATCAATTCTTACTATAGAATCTTCATTTCTAATTTTTTGTCATAACAAATTAAAAAATCTGAATAGACATTTCACGAAAGGTATACAAATGAGTGATAACCACATGAAAAGTTGCTCAACATCATTAACCATTAGTGAAATACAAATCAAAAGCACAGTGAAGGATGACTTCACACCACCAGCATGGCTATAATAAATAAGACAATAATAAATGATGACAACTTCTGGAGAGCATGGAAC